GGCGGTCCCTTGCGGCCGCCTGTGATGCCTTGTGGTCATGTGGCTCCTGCTGCATACCTCCTGCCTCTGGGGTGGCCTGTAGCTGTGGTGCCTCGGGGCCAGCGCTGGGTTGCGTGGCAATGGCAGCAGTGTCTCTGGCCTCTGGGACTTCATGGCCATGGCCGCAGGGCCTCCTTCCAGGGCAGCCAGGACAGCATGGCTGCCACCATTGCTAGAAGGGAGCACAAAGCCAGATAAGGTTTCCCCTCATGTGCAGAACCCCCACTCCAATCCCGTCACTTCCCTTCCCCCCAAGACACAGCATCCCCAGTTTGCTCGGACATTCTCCCTTGTTCTTGCACACTCTCTCCTGGCTACACACTGCACCCTCTCTTGTTCCTGCTCCCTCTACCCAGCCAGACGCCCTACTCCAAGCCTGCTTCTGCACCCCCGTTTCCTCCCAAAGCCTGCACCCCATCCTTATCTTAGTTGTGGCAGCCCTGTCTCACACACAGTACCCTTCATTTTTGTCCTTACCCCAGAGCCTAAGGAGGTGTATAAAATCCACTAACTCCAGAACCCCAGAAAAGTAAATCGGATCTATGGGAAGCCCTGAACCTGTTTCTTCCTTTCCTTCCCCTCACCCCATGAGGTTAGGGCACCAGATGAGTGAGGTGTCTCAGTTGGGGCCACATCAGTGAGCGTTGGGGGATTTTGGAGGAGTTATTTTGCTTCTCACTTGTGTGGTCCCCAACTGATTTTTTGTGGGTCAGTGACCGCAGACCCAAAAAGGGTTCCCATAAATAAAGAAAACATTGAAACCTTTTGTGTTGGACACAATATTTTACTTTATTTAAAATGAAGTTCTGGTTCAGAAAATAAAGTCACCATCCCCAGTAGCCTAGTTCTCAACCTCGCCCCTTTTGCCAAAGGTCCCACCCTTTCCAGGTCTGCCCGTTGCCACTTCTGAAATTTGTAAAGTGGCCCCCCTTTCCAAAATTATTATTCCAGCCCCTTAATCGTTGTTGTTGCCTTCTGCTGGAGCCTCTCCAATGCGTCCACATCCTTGCTGTAATGGGTGTGCTGTATTCAGAACTGGACACAATACTCCAGATGTGGCCTCACCAGAGCCAAATAAAGGGGAATAATCACCTCTCTGGATCTCCTGGCAATGCTCCTCCTAATGCACCCTAATATGCCATTAGCCTTCTTGGCTACCAGGGCACACTGCTGACTCATATCCAGCGTCTCATCCAAAACAGTCCCCGGGGTCTTTTCTGCCCAACTGCTGTTTAGCCAGTTGGTCCCCAGCCCCAAGGGCCCGACCCTGCACTTGTCCTTGTTGAACCTCATCAGATTCTTTTGGCCAAAACCTCCAACCTGTCCAGGTCACTCCGGACCCCATCCCGGCCCTCCAGCGTAGCTACCTCCCGCCCTGCTCCGTGTCCCCTGAGAACTTGCTGCGGGTGCAATCCAGCCCCGCACCCAGGTCATTAATAACCATGCTGAACAAAACCACCCCGGGCGCTCTGGCTCCCGGAAGCGGACCGGCTACCGCCAGGCCAAAGCCCCTGACAGTCTGTGGAGAAGAAACGCGGCTGGCAGCCCCGCGCGCTTTGCAAACGGGCCGGGAGGCTCTCACGAGCGGCGTCTCTAATCCCGCCCCGCGCCTGACGCCGAGGAGCTGAGCGCCAGCGCTAGAGGCTCCGCGAAAGAAGGGCGCCGGTTGGGCCTCCGCGCTTGCCGTAAGGACTGGCCGCTGAGCGCCGCGATACGAGGGGTCATTAACATGGCGGCTAAGGTGAGTGCTCGTCCCCTCTCCAGCTGCTGAGGGAGCGGTTCTGCTCCCGGGACGCGCTACGGGGGGAGAACAGATCGCCCCGCCCCCGCCAGGCCTGGAAACGCCGCGCGTGAAATCCTCCTGTTTGCCCTCAGCTCCCCCTCAGAGCCCGGAGACCCCGCGAGCCCAGCACTTCCCTGCTGAGAGCCGGACACGCCTTCTTACGGGGCCGCGGAGCGGGCCCCAGTCTGTCGGCCGGTGGCGCGTGGCCCGGACCCGGTGGGGCTCTGCCAGACGGTGTGACATGGGATACTGTAGTCAGTCGCCTCGCTTCATCGGCCCTGTCCGCGCTCCTCGTGTCACTTGCAGCCCCTGCAGGCTGCGGTTACCTTGTCAGATGTATGGCGTGGCGTGTCGAAGACTTGTCCTGCTCATTCATGATTATGTCTCTGGAGTCGCTCAATCACATTTTTCTTGATAATGTACAACGTGACTCTGCTTCTAGGTGTCTTTATGTTGATGTCTCTAGGGTATTGAGGCTCTTCCCTTATGTTCTGGTTAATACATTTAACACAGCATTTATACACACCAATTTTAAATGTTAGCTTTTAAAAATAACAGTTGATACACTCATCTCAAATAATTCAATCATAGCCGCAAGGGGGAAAAATTGAAACTCAACTAGGGATGTAATAGTGTATATGTGTAAATGGTTAACCAATGAGCCTGGGTTCATCTGTTAAACTTCACAGTTACACCACCCTGCTCCCTTGCTGAATCAGAGGCAGCAGTGCAGGTTGGGGAGGTGGGATCCAGATGATACAGAGGCAGCAGCACAGGGTGGAGAGGGATAGGTGGGAACTGGCTTAAAGTGCTGGTTTCCCCTGAGCCGCATGCTTCCGTCTCACTCCCCCACGCAGCTGCCTATGCATCAGAGGCTGCAGTGTGGGTGGGAGTATGGCAGGCAGGAACTGGTGCTTGCAGGGAGCCTGCTCCCATGTGGATATGTAACTGGTGTAGCACGTGTACCAAAATAAATGTGTATTGACATCCCTAAACTCAGCATACTTTATATTGCATCGGAATCTTCAGGGGGCTTAAAAAACAACAAATGGTCTGGTAGCACTTTATAGACTAACTAATGTAGATGGTATCATGAGCTTTCATGGGCACAGCCCACTTCTTCAGATGACCAGAGTTTTCGTCATCTGAAGAAGTGGGCTGTGCCCATGAAAGCTCATGATACCATCTACATTAGTTAGTCTATAAAGTGCTACCAGACCATTTGTTGTTTTTTAAGTTAATATTGCATCATTCAACCAAAGGCTAATTAAATGACTAGGGAAAATCAGTATAATTGCGTTCCCTATGAAAGCTTGCATACTAACTTTCAAATTTAAAAAAAATCAGTCTCTTATTAGGGATTTAACTGGTGGGGCCTGGTGCAACTCCCCACCTGCTTGCACCCTTATTTTTGCCTGTGTTTACAGGTTGAGTCAATGAGCTGAAAATCAGGTTTGTTACCTAAAATTCAGTGAAGGTGCATTTTCTTCAAAAAAGGCCCTGAATATAGTTAGTCCGTGTGGGATGGGTAGTATTGTGTCGATAGTATTTGGCATATGAATCTGAGGTGCTAGGGAGGTAAAATCCCGTTTGTTTAGTTAACCGGTTAAACGTTGAGTTTAACCCGTTAACAGATTAGATGGGGCTAGGACAGAGGCAGGGGCTGGAAGCATAGCAGGAGCGGAGAGGAGCAGAGGATTGTCGGCTCCCAGCCTGCTCAGACTTGTGGGCTGGGAATCAGCAGCCTTGCACTGGATGGAAGTGGGAGGCTGTTGGTGATGCTTACCAGGTAACTGGTTAACCGATTACCCAGTCACATCCCTATTGCTTATGTGACTATTCAGTGGTGCTTTTTGGAAGGATCTACATTACAACGGTGTTTCTCAATGTGGTCCATGAAAACACTTTGAGAGGCGCCGCGGCCATGGAGCTTCGCGGCTCCCATTGGCTCCATTTCATCCTTTGCAGCCAACGGGAGCCGTGGGAAGCAGTGGCCAGACAGGTTGAGCAGTGCTGCAACCCTGTGTGTCAGGTTGCAATGCTTGGCGCAGGAGGCTAGGCCTCGCTGTGTGGAACAGGAGCCATTGCTGTGGAATGAGTACAGATAGCTCACTCTACAACCATCTACTCTCCATGGCCTTCCCCTGACTCCCCTGGGATGGGGACCTGATTCCCTGGAATTCCACCCCCCAGTCCGCCCAGAGACAGGACCTGTCTCCTAATCTCTCCCTCCAATTGCATCGGGGGCAGGACTCAACCTCACACCAACTCTGAACCTCACATCTCCATAGGCAGGACGCATTACCCTCCCCAGGATCACCTACTCCGCCCCAAGAGGAGGATCTGATTCCCCTCCACATACCTTTCCCAGGGCCTCCCACAGGCCTCCAGATGAAGGATCCACACTGCCCCCAGGGAAGAAAGCACAGTGTTACGTCTCATTTTGCCAACTTGTTGAGTGTCATTGTAGAGAAACAAAATACAGGACTATGTAGCACTTTAAAGACTAACAAGATGGTTTATTAGGTGATGAGCTTTCGTGGGCCAGACCCACTTCCTCAGATCAAATAGTGGAAGAAAGTAGTCACAACCGTATATACCAAAGGATACAATTAAAAAAATGAACAAATATGAAAAGGACAAATCACATTGCAGAACAGAAGGGGAAGGTAAGTGTCTGTGAATTGATGATATTAGAGGTAGGGAGAGTGGGATGTTTGTGAGTTAATGGTATTAGAGGTGATAATTGGGGAAACTATCTTGGTAATGGGTGAGATAACAAACATTTGAACTAAGTCCTTGTTGGAAAGTGTCGAATTTTAACATGAATGACAGTTCAGAGGATTCCCTTTCAAGTGCAGATGTAAGTAAAAGGTCTTTGTAGCAGAATGCAGGTGGTCAAGTCATTGAGAGAGTGTCCTTTCTGGTTAAAATGGCAAGAAACTGTTTTCTCTTTGTGATCTTGTCTGATATCTGTTTTGTGGGCATTAATCCTTTGGCGAAGTGTCTGAGATGTTTGTCCAATGTACATAGCAGACGGACACTTTCGGCACATGATAGCATAAATTATATTTCTGGATGCGCAGGAATATGTGTTCTTGAACGCTTTTCCGCAAAAAGTGCTTTTGCGGAAAAGCGTCCGTGCCAATCTAGATGCTCTTTTTCGCAAATGCTATTAACGGAAAAACTTTTCCGTTAAAAGCATTTGCGGAAAATCATGCCAGTCTAGACGTAGCCTCTTTGTATGGAAGCTGTTCCATGACCTTGATTATCTTTGTTGCCCTTTCTTGAACCATTTCTAGTTCCACAGTATCCTTTTAGAGATAGAAATGTAGCCGTGTTAGTCTGGTGTAGCTGAAACAAAAATCACCTCTAATATCATTAGCTCACAGACATTTACCTCCCCCTCCATCCCCCTTCTGTTCTGAAATTTGATTTGTCCTTTTCATATGTGTTCGTTTTTTTTAATTGTATCCTTTGGTATATATGGTTGTGACAATTTTCTTCCACTATTTGATCTGAGGAAGTGGGTCTGGCCCACGAAAGCTCATCACCTAATAAACCATCTTGTTAGTCTTTAAAGTGCTACATAGTCCTGTATTTTGTTTCAGCTACACCAGACTAACTCGGCTACATCTCTATCACTATTCTACACTGTAGAGAAACACTTTGTTTTCATTGACCAGCTTTCAGTCCAGAATGCCAGAGTCACTAAGAAACTCAGGAACCCTGGCTTTGAATAACCTACAATTCTACTGAAATTTGGATCCGTACTCATTGTGGATTGATCTCCATAATATAGTGTATACAGTGTCTCTTGAGGAACTATTAAAAATTGTTTGTTGTGAGCAATAGCGATGTCACCAGTCAACCAGCAGCCTGGGCTCCCTGCCTACACAGGGTGCTGCAGTGGGCCTGGCCCAGCTGGAGCCTCCCTCCACCCACTGAACAGTGCAGAGAGCCTGGCCTGAGCAGCTCTCCTCCCCCATCCCTGTGGCAGGCCTGGACAGGCTGGAGCAGCCCTGAGCAGCCCTCTGTGCCATGCCACGGGCTAAGGGTGCTTCAGCACAGCTGGGCCCCCTGCCTGCAAGAACCCGTTTAAGCGGTTAACTGATTAAATGGGATTTTACGTCTCTAATGAGCAATATCTGATGCTGCTGCTTTTCGTTTACAGCTTGACTTGATGTCCATTGAAGCCAGTGGTAACATTTTCATTGACTTATTGAGTTGGATTAGATCCTTAGTAGTAAACACGCACACACACAAAAATGCATTGCAGGTATTGAGTAACTGAATTCTTACTCTAGTATTTCATGTGATTCTATAACAAGGGATATGTTTAAATAAAAAATAAAGTTTCAAATGCATTTCTTGAAAGTTCTTTGAAATAGAAAAAGATAGATGTAAAAGATACAGACACTTTTCTGCTTTTCTGAAGTCATTCTCCTGGTTAATAACAAAATTCCCATTTGATTTGTATGGCCTTGAGCTTCTTTGCCTCTGTAGTGTTTTCAGCAAATCTGCAAGTGCTAAGACTTTGTGATCAAGTTTTCTTTTTGCCTTTAATAATTGCCTAGAAGAAGACACTACAAAATGTTTGACTTAACCCATTTAATATTGTTGCATAAATTGCTGGTTTCGTCCCCTTGGAGGCTAGTCTGATTTACCCCAAGAAGAGAGTCACACTTTCAGGCTGGGTCCAACGCAAGTTTATTGGTTGCAACCAAGGTACGGCTAAGGAACTCAATGTTCAAAGCAGAGCCGACCCTGAGCGTTGGCTAAGCATCCTTTTTATACTTTCTTTAACTTTCTTATCTAACTTGGCACATCTTGATTTGTTACCTTAGCTTCGTGTTGCAGCGTTATTGGTTAGCATATTTCAACTCTATTCCATTCAGTAACAACCACCAGTATAGCTTACTTAAGCAATAGCAATTAGCAAATTTCCCTAACTCAAG